GGAGCACGGCACCGTTCCCATTTGCATGTGCTGTACAGGGCTGGATTGACAATATCAGCCAGGGTATTATGTGACACCTAATTTGGAAACACTTGGTGAAGGTTATCTCTGCCTCAAGCAATGATACCACGAGGCTGAATATAAAGCTGTTAGAGTAATTTCTAGTGAATAATGTATTAAATAACTTTACTTCCCTTCTCCCTCCCTCTGCACATGACTTGTTTGAGGCTTTTTTTTTTTTAAAGAAAGAAGGAACTGTTTAATAATGAAACTAGAATGATGTCGAATACATAAGTTACAGGTGGCAGATCTGGAGACAGATTTTAGCCTGGTTATACACTTTAAATACTCAAAATATTAGCTGCAATTCTTTACTGGTGAGTTTTGATTTGCAGGTCATTTGTGAGTGAGCTGTTACAGTTCCAGGCTATTTTGAGTGGCTGCTCAATCATCTATTGTTACTTTTTTACCCCGAATGGCTAAAGGTGATTAGTAGCTTTTGATGTTTTATACCCTTTACCTTTCTGCTTGAAGATGAAATTTAATTTACACCAACAATCTGAGGTGCCCATTGCTCTGATAGCCATTCCCTGTTTGTTATTTGTTCTTTTTAGAGATGACAGAAACAAAACACAAATGGGCAAGAGGTGCCTTTTTTTTTTCAAAATATGACCCTTTGTTTATGATGAACTTTGTAACCCTCAGCTACCTGTTTGCAGGAAGTGTAAGAGCCTCAAAGAGAGAAAATGGCTGGAGAATATTTGAGTCCTCAGAAGTGTTTTGTGCTCCCAGAAATTCAATTATACGTAGGAGCAGTTTGTAACATTCATTTTGTTATGGTAAGTCCTTTATTTATCTTTTCATGATGCCATTTTACCATCAGTGATGCTGTGGTCACCTGAAGCTGTGAGTGACAGCTGTGAATGGACATTAATGCTCAGGTACAGGCTGATCTGGCTGCCACTGGAGACCAGGTAGCACATTCCCATTCCAGAACTCCATTTTCTGGAAGTGTTTTAGATTATCTGAATTTCTTTTGGAGGAAAAAAAAGTAATAAGAAAATAAAAGAGAACAAGAGAAAGAGAGAGGGAAAAAATTTAATCTGTGAAAAGGGAGAAGTTTGTCTCTGCTCACGATTTTTCAAGCTTGTTCAAATGTAACAACCTCATGGATAGCAAATTGGTGTCATTTTTATCTGAGGAAAAACAGGAAGGTAACTGCCCTCCAAGGAGTAGGTAAATATATTTTTCATGATTTTGTAGTCTCACCTGTGTTTCACTCGTGGCAGTTTCACAGATGTCTTTCCTCTTTTATGTTGTTCTCTTCTTTTTTAAGAAAGCAAATTTAAAATTGCTAATTGTACCTATCCTTAGATGTTTGTGCTGCATTTCATGGAGATGGGATAGAGTCAGTTCCATAATATGCAGGCAAAGCTTGAGCCCCACACATGCAGGGCATTCATATTATAACTTCTGGCATTTTTTCAATAAACAGAAGGGCAAATCATTTGTGCAGGGCTGCTATCAAAAGAGGAGAACTAAACGCACAGTTTAATTGAACATTTGTTCTTAACTTTACTCAGGGACATTTGACATGAAAATTCTTGCCATATTTGATTGAAACCAGTTATGTGTGTCCAGAACTACATGGTTTAGGGAGGTAGTGGAAGATGATTGTGTATTGTACAACCTCCCAGGCTCTCAGGGACCATTAGAATTGCAAACCTGTTACCCTGGCAACTGCAAAATTTGACAGGACTTGAAACCTCTGATCTCTCTGGATAAGGCAGCAGCATTTATAAATTTTGCTCATTCACCTTACTATAGCTGATACAGTTAATGTTGAACTGCATCAGTAGCTTTTCCTCTGCTGAAAAGCCCTCGGATGGCTGTGGAGTTAATAGATAACAGCAATAGAGAGTTACAGAACAGAGGTTCCAAAATTCCCCTCCATGGACCACTGGAACTGTCAATGCCAACTGGCTGTAGATGGTTTTTCACTCCCTGTGTTTCCAGCTGTTGATATTTCACCAAAAGGCAACTAAACACATTCTATGTCCCCCTAATAGCTCCAGAGGCAAATAAAATCAATGGCAAACATCTGAAGTGCTCATCCCGAGCTTGTCCTCTCAGACATTCTCTCTTCCCCATCCTCTCTTTTGCTCTGGTCACACACTCTCAATTTGGTTGAATTTGGAGGCTTGGCTGCACTCAACCATCATAAAGTCATCTTTCCAGAGCTGCATATTTTAGCTGTAAAATTAAAAGTGGGGAATTCTGCCTTGGATGGAACTGGATTCTCTCTGGAATTTGGCACTGCTGAGATTATTATCAAAAAACGTGTTTTAATTCCGGTGTCTTTATTGTTTCTTTGGATTTACGGTAAGTTTAGAGATGACAAAAAAGAGGCCCTGACATTTGTAAGAACTGGAGAGAAATAAAAGTGGTAAATAGCATGTAAAGGTGACACTCAACAAATTCAGTTACCATGTAGAAATAATTAAGTGGGGGAAAAGCACAGCAGGTAAAAAAAGGTACTTTTGCTAAGGAAAGAGACAACAGGAATTGACTGCTGTTTAAACACAGAGAAATTAGGAGAAAAAAATTTTAAACCAGAAGAGCAACACTGTGCATAGGGAATCTCTAGATTCTCTGTCTTTTTTAACTTCTGAAGGAAAGATCATATTTCCCTTTTTCTGATAGTTGAAATTCATTATTTGTCTCCATACTGGAGTGATATTACAGGGGTTTTCTTATATAAAGAACTGATAAGATGAACCTATATTCAAAAACTTTAGTAGGAAAATATACTTTACTCTTCTTCTGTCTAAAAAAAAATACAAAAAAATTCCCAATTAATACTCAACATCATCATAATATTTTTACACAGTTTATTGGCCTGCTTTAGAATGTTTGGTATAACTTTATTAGGCTGATGTGGAAGAGTTCCCTGAAATGTTGACGTTTTGCATATCCCTGTGTTTTTGTTTCTTTGTAGAAGTGGCTTCTGCAGTGGAAATCAGTTCCTTAATCTTCTGCTTCCCACTGAGCATCCTGGGTGAGGCCTGAGAAATGTCATGATTGTTCACCTTCACTTAGCTAGAGTCTATCTGAGATTGTTAGTCTTGGCTTAGCCTCCAATATCTATTAAAAACTCAGCCAGCCATAAAGCTCTTACTGCCCTAATTAGTATTTTGAATTCTACTCATCCTCTTTTCCTTTCAACTTTCAGCAAATCTGGCGTTTGTGCCCAGCACAGGTTCACAGCCGTAGGAATAAATCCTTCCACGCAGGGAATTTCCCTATTGCCTAATTTTCTCCTCCTGATGGGGAAAGAATCACCTCCAAACCAAGGTGTTAATTATGTCATTGGCTCTGTGATACAGCTGCTGACTTCACTTATTCTCCTTAATAACCCCCACTAACTAATGGCTTGGCTGCTATTAAACTGGCACAAAGTGGCAAACTCAGTGAAAGGGCTCCACATGCCCACAGCCATCTAAACCCTGTAATCTTAAAACTAGATTGGACTTTTATCTTCAGAAAGAAGTTTCATGTAATAACATTGACTTTTCTTGCAGGTGTCAGTGAAAGGGCTGATGAATTTCGTTCCAGCTGCATCATGGTTGTACTTACTCCTTAGTAAAAATAGACTTTGGGGATTTAATCTGGTAGCTTTTCTCAGAAGAACTAAGATTGCTTGTCTATAGATTCAGACGTGGAAAGTTCTGGTTTAACTGGTTTTTTGTGGTTTGTTTTTTTTTTTTTCCTTTCTTCTTCATTTCTTTCAGGGTTCTGTGCTTGTGGTATGTCCTAATTAGTTTTTAGGTAAATTAATCTTTAAGTGACCCTAGGAGGTGGGAAGTTAATTCTCACCCATTCCCTGTTTCTTTCTGACTATCTAATTATTCATGAGTGTTGTAGGGGTCCTGTTCTAGAAAGGCAACTCAGCATGGGGTTAAGCAGTGCCCAAACAGAGGAAGAAGGGTAAAAAATTACCATATTTGACAGGCACACAGCTGCTTTGAGATTGTCATTCTCCGGTTTTCATTTCTGTCCTGTTGGTGTTGTAAATTATTAATCAAACAATGATTACCTGTACAACCCTCTGAATTTCCAAAGAGCTCTGTTAATATGAACTAACACACCTGTCATGTGCTCAAGAGAAGTTATGAACTCAGAGCCAAATTTTCCCTTGCATTCTGTTGCTGTATTTTGCTTATGAGTCAAGGAGTTTGGCAGGCAGGAAGGAGCATAATTTTTGCTGTGAATTGAGCAGGAAAGACTTGTGGTACAGGCTGGGATAAAGTTTTTTAAGAACAGAGGAAAATGCTGGCTCGGGTGCCCATAAAGAACCTGTACAATATAGAAAAAAAGTGAAAATTCTACAGGCACCATGGTTTAAAGGATAAAATTGAGAGTACCCAAAAATGATAAGGAAAGAATTTAAATAACAAGTTTTGGGAAAAGCAAGGAGATATCGAGATAGCTGTGGAAGAAAAAAATAAATGCTGCAAAAATTTTGTAAATTCTTAGAAGAGTATAATTGAATTTTGAGGCTATCTAGTAAAAGAAGTAAACTTGGGGGATAAGTGATGTCATCAGATCATGAAAAAAGGAAGACAGGCTCAGCTGCAGTGTCTGAAGGCTCTCTGGAAAGATATAAGTTGAAGCCAGACAGGTAGGATTGGGAAAGGTTTACATTATTTTATCTTTTTCATTTGCAGTTGCTGGAGTTGTGTTTGATTTGCAAGGAGTAGAGATGGTAAAATGTGTTCAGTGACTGGCAGAAAAAAGGCCCCAACAGTACAGATTCAACACTTCCAGTCAGAATGGAGAGGGCAAAAATGCCTCAGCATAAAATAACCTTATTCATTTGGGAAAAAATGTGGGTTGTATTCAGTTTCTTTGAGTTTTTACAGCAAAACTTTTTACTTTTCTAAAACCAAAACGTATTGGTTTAGTTGTGTTCCCTGTCAGCCTTGGAGTAGTTCAAGACTGAAAGAGCAAATGTAAAAAATGTTTTCCCACCTTCTTCTTACCTTTTGACCTTTTTGGAGAAGAAAAGCAAAGTGTGTCTAGTGTTGAGACACCAAAGAGATGAGCTGTGTGAGAAAGAGACACCAAGGTGAGCGAGAGGGATCTAAAACCCCAAAGCCAGCTTTTATCTGAACGCAAACTGGAACAGAGCAACATTTGAAACAGAGGAAACTCAGCAAGACAGATTCAAATGACAGAGCTCTCCCAATTTTCAGGCAGGACCCTCGAGGTCTTTCTCAGTCCAGCGAGTTTCAGTGTGTTCCTTGTTTGCAGCAAGTTCCAGCTCTCAGTCCCTCTGGGGCACTGTTTCCTTTCCATCCCTTCCAAAGCTCGACTCTGCACCTGTTCCCTGGCAAACCCACCAGGCTTCTGTTGCAGGCTGATTGCTTTCTGCCTGTTTTTCCCACCTTGTACCCCAGGACCTGCTTTTCCTCATTGATTTCTGCACTTTCAGTTGCTTTACAAGATGTAACAACTCCTGTTCGTGCCAGAGGGTCTCACCTTGGCCTGGGCCACGCAGAGGTGAACACAAACCTTCCTCCTGCCTGCTCAGCCTTTCAGCTCAACAGAGCACACCAACCAAACAGATCCAGATCCAGCATTCCCCTTCCTAACACCTGCTCCCTCTCACCCTCAATTCTACACCAATATATACAAATACTTGGAATTTATTTTTTTAAAGGACCATATTAATCATTTGATAAAACTTTCCTTTTTTCCTTGGTCAAAGAGCCTCTGTTTGTGACGTGATCTGTTCTGTGACAATTTCGAAGCTGGTTTTAATTGTGAAGATACTGAAGAATGGCCCAGTACTGATCACTGTAAAGAAGCAGATGAGTTTGTCCATCCGATTTTCAGGCATTTGGGTGATTCTGGAATTAATAACATCTTTGCCTGTTGACTCAGAGAACAGAGGAGGCCACTGGATTTTCAGTGAAGACAGAAGAAAAGCTGAGTATCCAGATACAGGAAGGTGCTGTTAACTAAAGTAAGTGAAGAGGTAATTAACCTTCAAACTTATCAATATTTCTAAGAATTATAGACAAGGCTACAGAAACAAACCAGCTTTCTCTGTATCATTGTATTAGGAACCATCCCAGGCAGAATTTATTTTTCAGATGATGAATATCCACCCAATTCTGCTGCATCCTCCTCTTGTAAAAATCAAAGCAACATAGATTTCTTAAAAAAAAAAAAGAAAGAGAGAGAAAAAAGCAGCATAATATCTTGATGATTTCTTAAAAGATCTCTTCTCCCAGTTATAGGTATGTTAGAAAGGAAATTGATGTATCTTCCTTTCTTCTTTGTGTGTTCTTGGTGCCACAAGCTGTGCACAGCATGCTTTCAATTAATTTAAACTAACTTTCCATCTGCTCCAACAAATGTAGGATTTGAGTGAAAGACACTATGATGGAGTGACATGAAATGTGCTAATAGCAAACACTAATGTGAAAGCCAGTCTTCTGTGGAAAATGTAATATCCATAGTGCTCCCTTTCTACTCCATATTAAAGGCTCACTTTGGTGAAAAATGATTATTGTTTTCAATATTTGCCTAATCAAGATGGGAAACAAAAGCTTTAGCAACGGAGAGAGTGATTTACATTTAACAGAGCACGGGAATGTGAGGAACAGGATGTATCAGATCGATTCCTTTTTAATTGCCTCTTTCATCGAGCTTTATGGTATGGAATTATTTCATTATGTTTCTACACTTAAAACAAAAGCACAAAAATGCTGAATATGATTAAACTTGGAAAGCTCTGGCTTTCTTATCGGTTTGATCAGAACACCGTGTATTTTGCAAATATTCTCATGTTTTTTTTTTTTTTCCCCTGACAAATTAAATTCTAACAGAGGTATTTAAATTAGAAGAGCCAAGGCCACAGTAAAACAGCTACAATGGCAACATTCAAGTAATGACACAGACTAAAATATAGTAACTGTGTACAATAAAAGCCTTTTGCTACTAAATGTGTGCACTTTACAGACAGTAGTGTAAGCCTTTGTGTGAGGGTTTTGTGCTCTTGAGGTTTTTTTGGGACATGATGTCAGGGTTTTTTTTTTTAGCATAAAGTAGGAACTAACTGTGACTCTGGCACCAGCCTTTTCAAGCAATAACCATTTAAAGCCATGTGGTAATTAAATTCTACCTGCAGCCCAACCTTGTTCCCAATTGAACCCTGGAGAATAAGTTTATGGCTTTTTTTCCCCCAATTTAAATTAGCACATGAATTTGCAAAGCGGAATTAATTTTTGGGCCCTGTTTCCTCCTCCCCGTATTTCTTACATTAAGTACTGCACTTTTAACCCTCGTTGGCCTCTTCAATTGATCAAATAAATGCAAATCAAAATTCTAGACTTGGTGAGATGCACAGGGAACTGTGGTGGCACCATTTCCTTGAGCGACAGCAAGTAAAAATAATAACCTGCTTCTTGATAGTTCATAGCTCAAACTCAATACCACTTGCACTTAAGAGTAGAGTTCAGAGAGGATAATTCTCCATGATCTTGTGCAGATTCATGGAAAGTGATGCCATATTTTCAGGGCAATAAGGACAGATGCTTCTCAACTGCTGGTCTGTAGTCGCCACCTCTTTCACCTCAAGCATCTCAGTTCTTGGTTTGGGCTGTTTTTGTTTGTTCAGCTCAGTTTTGGTGGGTTTTTTAAGCCTTTTTTTATGGCAAGGCTGAGCAAGAGCTGAATTGCAAGTGTCCTCATACCTACCTATAGATCAAAGAGCATAAGACACCCAGTGGATACAGGAGAGGGTCCTTCAAAGAGAGAAAATAAACACTGCATTTCTTTCTTTCCCCAGGACTACATAAGCACCTAACACCCAATATCTGGCATCTCACAGCAGTGTGCCCTCATCACCAATTTATGGCAATTTTGGGGGTGACATTGCTGGCTGGAGCTGTTCCACTCTGCAGAAAAGAATTACAGGTTTCCCAGGGCGAGATGACATGTGAGCAGAAGCCATTTAATTTCCTTTAGTTCCTTTTTGGTTTGCTGCAAACAGACCCAACCAAAGAGAAGTCTGTTCATCTGAGAACTGCTTTTCTCCACTAGATGTGTTTTATATGTGTCAATGGTTTCAGAGTTAGAAGGGTATGAGGCAGGAAAGGTGTCTAATACTTTTATCTGACCAGCTGAGACAGATAAGGAAAAAATGGACATTCTTTTGGACATACAGTGAAATCACTCTTTCTTGACGTTTAGTAGAAATCCTCTGTGTCCAAAATCTTGTCTGTTCTCCCAGTTATGTCACGTAGTCTAATGAAAAGTGTTAACTTTCCCTCCAGACCTCTCCTCCCTATTATTCTGCAGGACATTTATACACCTACAGCAGATAATGTCCCCAAGAATTTATGTGCTCAGCCTGAAACCCTTGTAAGAGAAGTAATTAGACAGGCTTAATTAGAGCTGGCATGACAGAATATATGTCAGTAAACCTGCCCAAGTCTGCCCAGAAAGGCATTTTCAAAGGGCTCTGACTGCTGTATTAGTCATGCTCATTTTTCAGGTGGTGTATACAACTGCAGAATATTTAACCACCATTAAATGGTTTTCCAGTTGGAACTGTTTCATGCAGAACTTATCCATTTAATCAATTTATCTCGTTCATCGTTAGGTTACAACTGGTGTGACTGCAAAGAAGGGAGAGAAAAGGAGAAAATGAGATGCTCCATTAGAAAACACCATTCAGAAGTGACAGATTAAGCTACTTGAAATGAAGGCAAACATGAGTGATTTGAGGGATATTTTACTTTATTCATAAATTGGATCATTGGCTGAAAAATAATCACTTGGTCCATCAAAGACATCAAACCCAGAAATGAGGTGGAGTTACCAGAGGATGAGTAATGGAGGTAAGAGATCAAGCATGCAGGGATGATAATACAAGTTATTTAACACAGGAAACAATGGCAGCTAATGGTAATTAGCAGTAAAAGGGACACATTTTTCTCCTTAAAAATCTGGTGTTGATGTCAGTGTGACTTTCCTGAATGCAGGTTCAGGAGTGAACATGGATCTGAAATGCTAACAAGAAAGCAGGGAAGAGTTGTCAGAGCATCTCTTTCAGAGGGAGAAGGGAAGTCAAAGAAGATTAGAGGAGGAAAAATTAAAAAGGAGTGTATCAGGAGAACTCTGCAATCTTCATATGTGTTTCTAGATCTTTCCTGTGCCCAACAGAATAAAAGTCCCTTATGAATGTAACTCTAGAGATCAAATTGCATATTTTTAGCCTGTAGGTTCCAAATTACACATTGCTGTGAGACTGATTGCACTCCAGAATACAGTCCCTTACATCCATTAAAAGACGAAAATCATGTCCCTAAAACTATTTCTGTGTGTCTGTCCATGCAATCCCTAAGGCCTGACATCAGCAGGGAGCTCTTCCAGACTATCCCAAAGTTTGGTAGCCATAAGAGCTCCCTGATAAAATCTATTCCTCTGATGGAACTGTTCCTGGCTGTGATGGAAGAAAGATTTTATTTAAGTGCAGTTCCAGCCTTTTTTGCACTGCTAATATAATGGTAAAATTTTCTGCTGGAGTAGGAGAAAACATCCTCAGATGTTATTTTCAATATTATTTTGGGACATGATAAAGAATAATGTATATTTATATTTTAACCTGTCTATTATCTGGATCCTGCAAATTACCTGGATCCATTATCTGTTTTTTCTGCTTGTTTCTTAGAAGCTTAATTTGAAAGAAGCCACACATACATGGTGTATATACATTAATATATGGTGTGTGGGTGCCTACCACTGCAATCTCTAAAAGTAGAAAATATTTTTAGACACAGATAATTCTACGTGGCAAATAAGAGACAATAATTCAGCTATCAGGGATTCAATATTATTCACTCAGTCATGGCAAATTATCTCTGTCCCCTCCCCATCCTTAGGAATGCTTATTCCTGGCAATAATTCTGTGTCCCAGTCCTGAAGGATGTGAAGCACAGGATTTCAGATTAAGCACAGCTGTTTGTGGCTGGAAAGACATGTCACTCTGAGGCTTCCAGAGTCAATTGAGAAGTTAAATTTGTCTAGTATTAACATAAAATGCAAATACACCATCCTACTGTCAAAGCAGTTAAATATTCAGGAGTGAGACCGTGGTTAATAGCACATTAATCATTAACCATTATTCAGAGATAGTTTGGATCAGGCTGGAGGAAATGCAGGAAGTATAAATGAGCTCTTGAAAATATCAGTTTGAAAAGATGTCCCTTCAGAGCCCCTTTACTGTAGATATGAATAAGAGCTGGGTTGTTTTGTTTTTTAGGGCTACACTCATTTCTGGGCCACTAAATGAATATAGATGTCTTTTAATTTTATAGTAGGCTATTGATAATGCAGATTTATTTAAAATGCAGGTAATGGTTGAAAACGTAATACTTTTTAAATTGTTTTAGAGAATAAGTTTAACTTCCCAGTCTAAAAATATTGACTATAATTATTAAACGTTTAAGGTATTCCATGGTTAAAAGAAAGGTTTCTGGTGCACTATTTATCATTTCCTTTGTTCAACCTAATTGTCTTATTTTGAGGTATTGTTTTTTGTGAGGGTTTTTTGTAGGTTTTTTTTTTTAAAGCAAATCTTTCTTAGATGATTCTGATACCTTAGAGGTAATTATTAAGATTAAGCACCTGGCTTATGTAAATTGTTATCTCCATTCAAATTCAACTAAACCATAATTGCAACATTCAACAGAAGGCTTTCTAGGATTCTGTTAAAATGCTGAGGTATTTGTGTACTCCAGTCCTTCATATTCTCAGTTTTGTCTTGGTTTGTGTAGACTGCTTCAAAATTAATAAACAGGCTCATGGTAGGTCCTAGATAAGGTGCAAAAATTATGCTAAAATATGCAGCGATAATTGAGTGTCAGTTTAAGAACATGTTTCCCATTGAACAGGTGCCTGTTGTTTCCTGTGAACCTGAGGTTGTGGTTAATACACTGGTAACAGGTTCCCAGGAGTTTCCATGCAGTTCATTTCACACTTGGGCATTGCAATATTTGCAACAATTCACAGAGTTCAGAGATGTCCAGGAGACTTTGGCAGGGACAGCCAAGCAAAACGCTAATAAGGAAAACAGAGCAGAAGTCTGAGCCAGGATTTGGCTCTTGCCAGGCTCTTGTCAGCACTGCACAGCGTTGACATGGAAAAAAAGAACCCTTTCATCTCTTGCAGCCATAAACCAACAGGGATTTTATTTATTTATTAACAAAGAAATAACAATAAAATGTAAGGGAGGGCTCGAAAGATGCCCACTGTGCAAGGCCAGTGACATGTCTCTTGAATTAGTACCTGTGAAAAGGGTTCTGCATCACACCACAGCTATAGAGCACAGCAATCCAATGTCAGATCAGTGTGTGTCATCCTGCAGAGTCAACTAGAGTTCTACAAACTGGGGGGAAAATAGCAGTGAATGAAGCTGAGCTGATTCACAGTCTTGTGCTTTAGTGTAAATGCACCAGCTGTATAAACGTGTGCAGGTGTAAAGCAATAGAAACAGCCAACTGGACTTCCAAAACCTTAGATCAGTCAAGCATCAGATGCTAAAAGCATCTTAGACCTGTGCTTTAGTTTTGGTTGCAGTAGTAAAGTTGTGTTGTGTAATGAAAGACTGACCTCCACAGGGCAGAAATCAGAGCTGGCAGGTTTGTGGAGTTCCCACCAAGATACAAGACCCAGACTTCCAGGGAAAAGGCTCAAAACACCACCAACACCATCAAGCTTTAGGTTGGCTTTTAGTCTGAAGCCCATCCTGGGTTTGGGTGTAAACAACTATTCTTAGCAAATCTCTGCAAGAGAGCCCTCTGCTACTTAACTGTTTACATGATGCTTGTGCTATCAAAAACGAGGGGCAAGTTTGCACCACTTTGACTCCTGAGACATCCTACTTCTAGGTCTAGGTTATCTGTTGGATTGAGTGCTTAAAAATACAAACAAAAAATGAGAGTCTAGCAGGCTTCTTCAGTGGTGTTTCCTTAGAGATTTGGCATCCCTCTTTCATGTCAGTTAGGAGAAAGAAAGCAAAATACTTTCCATGAAAGTCTGGTTTATAACCAGTGAATGTCTTCTGACTCACAAGACATTGGACAGTTTGTAAGGATGGTTCATGACACAGGAGCCTTTGGTGAGAACAAACTAACAGGGATCTCCCAGAGGGAAAAGATGCTGCATGGCTGAGGAGCTAAGCAGGCTGAGAACTCTGTTGTTAAGTCTTGGGGCATTTTAAGTTTATTTGTCTAAAGGAAAGATGCAGAGTGCTAACAGTGGGTTTGTACAGAAACAAAGTGAGGGATGACTGTTATGGGGGCTATGTATGAATTTATTCACTTTTTTTTTTGTTTTTAGGAGTGTTTTTCCAGACCATGTGAAGACTCCCCTTTCCTCCTCCACCTCTATTTCCTTTGAAACTAAAACAAAAAAATAGAACTTCATCAAAACCCTGAAGTAGGAGAGAAATCCATCTGCTCAGCTAATGAAGATGAGTGGTACAAGTCTGTGCTGCTGACTGTCCCCACCTCCATCTCTTTAAAGGTACCAGAATTGCCCCAATTCCCATATTAATTAGTCTGCAGTACAGTTTAATTGCATTGTAGTTTTTTTCTTTTTCCCAATGAACTGAGCTTTTAATGAGTATCCACTGTTTAATAACCAATTAAAATAATAGCCAATTATTTTGTGTATATGTAATAATGAAGCTCATCACCTTAACTGCTTATATTTATATATATACATACGCATTTTATTACTCTGATTTGAACAACAAATCTGTTACACTCATGTATCTCTCTTTGTTATGAGTTATACCTTCACTAAATAATGGCACTTAAATGCACATAATGCCTCCTTCCCTTATTTAGCTTAAGCAGGATAAGAGACAAAGAAGAGCTGCAGTAACAAGAGGACTTTGGAACTGAAGAAAGACCTGAAGAAAACAAGCCTTGGATTGCATCCACTCAAGCCCAGAAGACAGAGTTGAGTGCATCACACATTTGCATTGGCTGCAGGTACTCGGTGCTCATTTGCTAAAGAACAAAGTACCCAGTGCCAAGGAACAGAAATTAGGAGTGTGAGACAGTGCTGCAGCTCACCAGGTGTGTGGGTGAGGACAGACAACCACGATTAAAAGTAGATTCATTACAGTGCTGATAAGAGAGTAAGCCCTGATGGGTCTTTAAAAGGTGCCAAGCTGGAGCACCACTGCAAGAGTGATGGCTGGATGTCAGTGCAGGAGAGAACTGTCTTAAGAACTGCAGTGAGAACTGTCTTAAGAAAGTGAGAAAGAGGGGAAAAAAGCCCAACCAAAGAAAAAACTCTTCATATAACAGTGTTGTTCCATTTGCTGGGAGTGGGTGTCTGATCATCCTGTACCATTGCTGAATAACAGCACAGCAGAATGTGGGGCATGACATGCACACCAGGGCTGCTCCAAGGGGTGATATCTGGCAGGAGTCTGGGGCAGAGACTGACTCTGCTCAGCTGGCACATGACAACAGGGCTTCCAGAACTCCTGCCCTGTGTCTGGGGGTGAGGTGGCAATCCCTCCTCTGGGAAGGGTTCAGATCTCTGGCCAGTGCCTGCCTGAGGTACAGGCACGAGGTGCCTCTGCACCCTGGCTCTCTTTAGTCATCACACTGAGGTGGCTGAGCTTCCCAGGAGGGTCAGTCTTCTCCTGCCAGGGTGGTTTGGAACTGTGCCCTCTGTTTC